TCATAGTCTTACATTTTATCTACAATTATAATTGTACAATTTTACACTATGATTATGTCACTGTATTGCACGTGAAAGAGACCACATAGGAATGCCCACAAATGCAAGTAATTGTGTTAGGATAGTAAGACTGATTATAAGTGACTTTTAAAAAATTAATGACTGAGAATTTTCCAAAATTGCTAAAAGACATCAAGTCACAGAATCAAAAAACTCTATGAATCCCAAGTAGGATAAATATATTTTTGAAAATTTACCCTTACACAAGTTCTTTAAACTGCTTAAAAACAAAATATACAGAGAAAATGTTAAAATCATTTAGATAAAAAACAGACACCTTCAAGGTGCAATAATTAGACTAACAGCAGATTTCTCAATAGAAATAATACAGATAGAAGTCAAAGAAACGACAATTCATACCACTCAAAGAAAATAATTTTATACTGGGCAAAAGTATCCTCAGGAATGAAGACATTTTCAGATAAACAAAATAATTTGTCGCTTGCTGACTAGCAGTTAAGTAAATACTAAATGGAATTCTTTAGGCAGAAGATAAATGATCACATGTATAAAGTCTGAAATACAGGAAGTAATGAGAGCAATGATAATATAAATATGTGGATGAATCTAAGTGTATATGAGTTTATTAGGCAATAATAATTATGCGTTATGGGGGTAAAATAATACATGACAGCATTGCATAAAATTCCACAGAGGGCAAATGGAGGTAAAGTATCCTGAGGTTCTGCCATTACCCGGAAAGAGATAAAAGTAACAAGTAATCTTAGACTTTGAAGAATCAAGAATACATGCTATAATCTCCAGCACACATTCTTCTGAATGAAACCCTAGTATCACATGTATGAATTATAAAAAGAAGATTAGCTAATCTTTTGGCAGTTATATTTTATAATATCAAAATAAATAACAGTCTAATGTTTTCTGTTTGCCTCTTTTCTTGTTGTAGTTTTGATTCATCGCAGAAACAGACTGCTTGTGTTTCATGTATTAATCATTTATGAGTAACAAAGAGTACCGTTTTATCCATATTTAGTGGGTTTTGTTCCTAGCATATCAGAAGCAATTTTTAGATTTTGGCTGCTTGTAAAATGTGGTTCTCAAAACTACATTTCAATCTCTTTCAAAACCCTTTATTTTTTGTACAGTATATTAACTTCTCCCCTCATTTATGTAAATGGCATCTTAGTTCAGTCAAAATTACTTTCCCCTCAAACTGCAATAGAACTGACACAAATGCCTTTTTAAAATTAAATTCACTTTTTACAAATAAATGCCTAAGGCCTTTATTCATTACTAGCTGTTTGCATGATGAGTTTTTGCCTGGGAAATTTCCTTCAAGTGTTAGGATAAGGGGAGCATGAAGTCACCCAAGATCCTCAGGGGGCACTGGAGCCTGCTGGCCGGAACTTGACAGCAGGGCTGAAATTACTGGGCTCTCATGTTCTTGTCGTTAACATGCATAGCATGTTCTTCTGGAGCTGGTCTTTACCCAGTGTTCTCCTCTTCATGAGTGCCCCTGCCAAACTTTCAGTGACAACTCTTCAAAGGATTAAAAACTAGTCTTGCTTTTGTTTGCCAACCTGGACAAAACTGGCAAACACTCTTCTATACAGGTGTCATGAAGTCGCCCTGCTCTCACCCTCCCTGGGCTCCTTCCCCACCAGCCAGAACAGAAGCAGCAGTGTTGACCTCACCCAGGCTGGGCACTGGGATACCAAACGAAGATGCCCTCAAGGCGTTTCAAAGGTAAGATGCGTACATGGACAGGTTTAAGACTATGTAAAGGAATATTTTTCAGCCCATGGAGAAAGATTACAGAAGGGCAATCTAACCTTCCTCAAGTACCTACTATGTTCAAAGGATCTTGTGTACGATGTGCTCTTTAATTCTGGGAGGGAGATATTGTTATAAACCAAGAAAACTGAGGAATTGAAGTTCATTGAAAACTTTAATATACGTGCTTCTGTGATATTCAAGTGTCGTGGAGATTGCACAAACATCTAACTTAAGGTAAATGGTCAGAAATGGTTAATTTAGGGAACATGGAAGCACAGTTGTATTCCAGCATGATAACTGATTGGGAAGTGACGAGAAGTGAAGAGCAAGTAAATACGGACGGTTCTTGCAACTTGTGAAGGAGATGGATTGGACATTGATTCTATTCCAAAAATTAAGGGAAATTTATTTATGCAAGAGAACTAAAATCTAGTGCCGTGAAACCCTGATGATTCCTACTTCATGCTGCATTGATCTGAGTGCTGGATGTGTTTTCCTTGACAGTTCAGGCAACACTGTTTTTAATTCTTTGGAGACAATCTGTTATTAAATTGATCTGTGTATTTATGTTCTGTCCTATTCACTGTTATTTACTGCTCACCAAGGCTGCCAACTTTTAAACAGTCTTGGTATAAATGTTTGTTCCCAAACCTTTGCTGATAGATGTGTTTTATGTAACAGTTATGGAGTCCATTAACATGAAGCACTAAAACACAAAAAGAAACTAAAGAGATTTATAAGCATATGAAATGCCCTCACCAGAGACAGTTGAAATAATAAATCCGAAGTCAAAGGAACATTTGTGAAGTTGCTATGAACAGATTTACCTACTTCAAAACATGTTTTGTTAGACTGAATCATGCTATATATTATGTTTAGCTTAAAAGGTAAAATACAAATTGACTCTCATTTATTGGTAATGATTCCTCACTGTGTTTGAGGAGAGAGATGTAAAAACAGATTCTACTGTTTTAGAAGAGAGAAATTCCACTTTAAACAAGTCTATGTCATTTGCATTCTTGTTAAGAGAAACTGCCTGAAGGAATTTTCTTTAAAAGTGGGAAATTTAGGAAAGCTCAAAATATTCATATTTTAAGTGACATTAAAATACTTCCAACATTATTATTTTACAGAAATACTTAATTGTGAGCCTAATTGCTGGTAGCAACAGTAGTCTAGGGGGAAATTTTTTCTTGACTGCAACTTGAGATATAATTAGTATCCTCAGAAACAGGCAACCCCTCCCCCCAACCCCTACTAAAAAAATGGTTGGCAAAGCAAAATGGTGGCATCTGTCTCCTCGTTAAAACATCAGATTGACAAAGTCCATGTACTTCTCTGTTTCAAAAAGTTCCAGCTCTTTTAAACATCGACATTCTTATCATTTCGTGTGTTTGGTGCTGGCCACTGGCTAACAGTGTCTGTGTGGATTTCTCCTTGAATATCTTTCCCCCATCAACTGATAAGCAAGTGGCTCCTAGGACTTCTGGTGGAGAGCTCTGCTCAGGAAAGCAGGCTGATAGCACACATCTGAAATTGTTACAGAAAACATTCCTTCTCTTCTTGTGTGTGTTGTTGCTCGTTTGCTTGATTTTTTTCCTATTTAAAGGAACTTTTGAAGGTCTAACAGCTACAGGGCTTTCAGGTTGAAGTGGCCCCGGGAACTAGAGAGTGGCAGTTTAATGTGCTTTCCTTGGAGAGAAAAAGACACTGGTATTGTAAATCTAGCCTGTATTCACTATCACAGGGCTAATCCATGGTCATAAAATTAGAGTCAAATATATGATAAACTGCAAGCCACTGTTTTCACATCAATCTGTACAAACAAGCTAATATGTTATTTTAGTAGTGAAAAAAAATTCTTAATTTTTCCTTAAGCATGTAGCTCTAGGTCTGGGATTATTATAACAAGTATTTTTGAGCAAATTTAGTTTTTCTGTATAATTTTTTTAAAAAAATAAAAAATTTAAAATTCAGGGGAAAAATCTAATCTCAATCCCCCAAAGTAAATACTGTTAATAATTTGGTGTTTTTCCCTCCAGTCTTTTAGTTATTCCACTCATCAAAATTTGTATTTTATTTTTTCATTGAGTACAATTAATATAATACTCTGGGATGTCTTTTATGATGATGTGTAAATTACGAGTTTAAGAAATGTTTTTGGAAGACATAGATAGAAAGGAAAAATGTTTAGGCGTCATCTTTCCTGCAACAACAGTAACACAATTGTTCAAAAGAAAAGACTTTCAAATCTTGTGAACAGCGCATGGTGGTTTTCAAGTGTAGGAACTGAAAGTGAATTTGAAAAGGTAGCAGGGAGAAGTGACAACTCCGGCCTTGATGGGCAAGGGCATGAAGAGCCACTCACTTCCTGGGGTGAGCACCAAGGGCCCCCGGTGCCTGTCCGCTGTGTTCTGAGCACAGGGCGCTGCTGCAGCCAGCCCCCTGCCCATCTACCCTGCTTCTAGAGCCTTCCGATATCAGAACAGGAAGGGCTTTAGTCCAGCGCCTCTCACTTAACAGATAAGAATGCCGGGTCCAGGGAGGTAAATAACCCATGCAGGGCTGGCTCTGTCACCAGGCGGCAGTCCTCCCTGCCCAGGCATCTGAGGGAGAACCTGGCCACTTCACCTCTCTTCACAGGTGGCTCTGCTGCCTCCAGCTGCCTGCAGAGGACAGCCAGGCAGCGGTGGGCCAAAGCCAGCCCGTTTTCAAGCGTAAGTCCAGAGGAAAGATTTTAATTTGAGGAGAAAGAGGATTTCTATCTCCCTTTCTACCAAGGGCACATCAGAAACCCATTTAAATGATTCTGAAAAGCCTCCAAATTTTCCATTCAATGAAGGAACGTGCCAGAGAACCTTAAAAGCTAAAGGTTTCAACAACAGGACCTAATAAAGTTCTGCTGCCCCTTCAAGGCTTGATATAAATTCCAGAATTCTAGATTCTTGGGGCTGGAAGGGGCATTATAAAGGTGATGTTTTCTTATGACTTTTAAGCTACAGTTAAAAAAAAAAAGAGGTTATTAATTCCATCACCAAGAGGTTACTAAACATTCCTGCCTTCAACTACAATTACTGCAGAAATAGTTTTTAACTTTTCTGAATGGAATTCCAACAACAACAATGAGAAATTATTAGTCCCTGTGATGATTGTGTTTGCCTTGTTTAGAAGATGGTACTGAACATCGAATTTCCATATCATCACTGACTTACCCTGTTCTTGCTGCTATAACAAAACACCTTAGACTGGTTAATTTATAAATCATATAACTGTATTTCTCACTGTTCTGAAGGCTGGGAAGTCCAGATCAGGTGACAGCCGATTTGGTGTCTGGTGAGGGCTTGGCCTTCTCACTGCCTTCACATGGTGGGGGGAGGCAAAGGGGTGAGGACCTCCCTTGTACCTCTTTTTTTTTCCTTTCTTAGATTTAGCTTTTTAAAAAATTGGTACATAGTAGTTTTACATATTTATGTGCTATGCGTGACATTTTGTTACATGCATAGAATGTGTAATGATTAAGCCTGGGTATTCGGGGTACCTATCACCTTGAGTATCATTTCTATGTGTTGGGAACAATACAAGTCCTCTCTTCTAGCCACTTTGATATGCACAATATGTTGTTAACTGTAGTCACCCTGCTCTGCTATTGAACCTGAGAACTTATTCCTTCTATCTGAATGTATTTTTGTGCCCATTAACCAAACTCTCTTTGCCCCACCCCACCCCACCCTTCCCAGCCTCTAGTCACCATCATTCTACCCTTTACCTCAATGAGATCAATTTTTTTAGCTCCCACATATGAGTGAGAACATGCAATATTTGTCTTTCTATGTCTGGCTGATTTCACTTAACATAATGCCCTCCAGTTCCATACATGTCACTGCAAATGACAGGATTTCATTCTTCTTTTATGGCTGAATAATATTACTTATATATATGTACCACATTTTTTTATCCATTCATCTGCCGATGGCCACTTAGGTTAATTCTGTATTTTGGCTGTTGTGAATAGTGCTGTAATAAACATGGGGGTACAGATATCCTTTGATATACTGATTTCCTCCCTTTTGAATATATACCCAACAGGGGGATTACTAGGATAAATACCCAGTGGTGGAACTGCTGGATCATAGTTCTACTTTTAGATTTTTGAGGAACCTCCATACTGTTTTCCACAGTGGCTGTACTAATTTACATTTCTGCCAACAGGACAGGAGAGTTCCCCTTTCTCTGCATCCTTGCCAGAATTTGTTATTTTTTGTCTTTTTGGTAGTAGCCATTTTAACTGCAGTGAGATGATATCTCATTGTGGTTTTGATTTGCATTTCCCTGATGATAAGTGATGTTGAACATTTTTTTCATACACTTGTTGGCCATTCATATGTCTACTTTTTAGGAATATCTATTCAGATCTTTTGCTTATTTTTTAATTAGATTACTTGTGGATTTTTTGCCATTGAGTTGTTTGAGTTTCTTATATATTCTGATTATTAATTCTTTGGCAGATGGATAGTTTGCAAATATTTACTCCCATTCTGTAGGTTGTCTCTTCATTTTGTTGTTTCCTTTGCTGTGAAGAAGCTTTTTAGCTTGATGTCATCCCATTTGTCTATTTTTGCTTTTTCTACCTGTGCTTTTGAGGTCTTGCCCAAAACTTCTTTGCCTAGACCAATGTCCTGAAGCATTTCCCCAATGTATTCTTCTAGTAGTTTCATACTTCCAGATCTTACATTTAAGTCTTTAATCCATTTTGATCTAATTTTTATATATGGTAATAGACAAGGGTCTAGTTTCATTCTTCTACACATGGTTATCCAGTTTTCCTAGCACCATTTATTAAAGAAACTGTTCTTGGTGCTTTTGTTGAAAATCAGTTGGCTGTAAATGTGTGAATTTATATCTGAGTTCTCTACTCTGTTCCATTGGTCTACATATCAGCTTTTATGCCACAACCATGCTGTTTTGGTTACTATGACTTTGTAGGATACTTTGAAGTCAGATAATGTGATGCCTTCAGCTTTGTTCTTTTTGCTCATGATTGCATTGGCTATTTGGGGTCTTTTGTGGCTCCATATGAATTTTAGGATTTCTTTTCCTATTTCTGTGAAGAATGTCCCTGGTATTTTGATAGGGATTGTATTGAATCTGTAGATCACTTTGGGTACTATGGACATTTTCAACAATATTAATTCATCCCATCCATGAGCATAGGATATCTTTCCATTTTTTGTGTTCTTTTCCATTTCTTTCATCAGTGTGTTAGTTTTCTTTGTAGAGATATTTCACTTTTTTGATTAAATTTAAAACTAGGTATTTTTTGATAGCTATTGTGAGATTGCTTTTTAATTTCTTTTTCTTGATTTATATAAGTTATTGGTGTATATAAATGCTACTGATTCTTATATGTTGGTTTTGGATCATACAACTTTACTGAATGCATTTATAAGTTCTAAGACATCTTTGGTGGAGTCTTTAGATTTTTCTAAATATAAGATCATGTCATCTGCAACAAGGTAATTGGCTTCTTTCTTCTCAATTTGATTTTGTTGCCTTTATGTCTTGTCTTTTCTTTTTTTATTGGTTTTCTGTGTGGATCATCTGTCCATTAGTGAAAGTGGAGGTGTTGAAGTCCCTGTATATTATTGTTGTTGTCTTCCTTTAGATTTATTAATATTTGCTTTATGTATTTGTATAGTTTTGTGTATATGTTTCTATATAATCATATTTACTTAAGTACTATATAAATTATATTCTGTACTTGTAATATTAAAATTATGTGTATGATTTAATGCTAATTTAGTGATTGACCATTCTATGAATTATGTTACCTTCTTTATCTCTTTTCATTTGTTGAATCTATTTTATTGCGTCAGTATGTATCTTGCTCTTTTTTTGGTTTCCATTTTGACGGATATATTTCTTCTTCTTTTCAGTCTATGTGTATTTATCGGTGAAGTTAGTTTCTTGAGGCAGGACATATGTTTGATCTTGTTTTAATTATTTCGATCTTTGTTTTTATGGAATTTCGTCTTTAATTAATGTTTTTTGATAGGTAAGGATATTGCATTTGTTATGTTCTATTATTTGTAATTTCTCTCTTCCTTGCTTACTGTCTTCCTTTGTGGTTAAGTGATTTTCCTCTATTCACAGTTGTTAATTCTTGCTTTTTTTTACTGTATGTATTTAGGTTTGTTGTGGTACCATGGGCTTACGAAAGTTTATCGAGTTATATATACAATGAAGCTTAAGTTGAAGGAAGAAGAAGAAGAAAAAAGACCAGAGGGAAACGAAGGAAGGAAGGAGGAAGAAGGAGGAGAGAGGGGAGAGGAGAGAAGAAGGAAGAAGGAAGGATGGAGGAAGGAAGGAAGGAAGAGGAAGGAGGAGGAGGAGGGAAGGGACAATTTTATTTATCTACTCTCCTCACTCTTTTAAAGGTCTTGATCCTTCTTGGGGATTAATCCCTTTCACAAAGGTCCACCTTTGTGTTTATTGGGGTTAAGTTTAACATATGTTTGTGGGAGAATACTTCGCCATGCATCACTTAATGCTCTTGGTATCAGCTCTGTTTTACCATGTGGAATTGTTTAATGATCCATCTTTCCCCCTTTTCACTCGTAGCACTCCTTTTGTAATCGTGACTTTGCTTTCTCCCATCGAATGTGCTCTTCTCGCCTTTTGTGATTTAGCTCATTTGTTGGCTATGACCAATAGATGTGGTGCATGAGTTGTTTTGTGTTTTGCGGTGGTCAAGGCTCGGAAGTGTGCTGCTTACCTTTGGGGCATGCTCTGGGACTGCTGTAAGATGCTGGTGCTAGGCTGATGGGGAGGGGTGCCATGGAGGAACCAAGGCACCAGCGCCAACGCAGTATGTGGTGGCTTGCTTCCAGCAGATACCATTCAGGCTGCATGGAGTAAGTGGAGTAAGACGGCAAACCGCTGGACAACTGCTGGAATCACTAAGTATGGAGATATAGCCATTGTTGTTTTAACAAGTTTTGGGGTGATTTGTTGGGCAGTAAGATTTGGCACCCTGTCATCTCTTTCATCTGAATTATGTTACAGAAGTATTTGTTAAGGACCTGTCATTCCTCTTCTGGTTCTTGTTCCTTGTGTGGTTAATTTCTTGTTGGAGTTGCTTCTTGTGAATAAAGTACTCTTGACTTCCAAGTTGTAGGGGGAGGGAGATCTAGTCTTGGGGAGACTGCCCCCCTTTTTCTCTTCGCTTGCCCCCTGGACCCACCCCCCCAGGGCGAGCTGGACTGCCATGGAAGAAGCGAAAGGGGAACATCTGTACCCGCAAGTGCTGTGTGTAATTGTTCAGTCAAGGGCTCCGAGAAGCAGACAGGGTGTGTGTTGAGAGGAGAGAGATTATGAAGATTGGTCACTGACCGTGGAGGCTGCGGTCCACTTCCATCTGCAGCTGGAGACCGGGAGCTGCCGGGTTTCAGTCGGGCTGAAGGGTTCGGATGGGGAGGGTGAATAAAGCGTCCGGGGCAGGAGAAGTGGGTGGGGAAAGGGGTAAATCTCCCTTTCTTCACCTTTTAGTCGCTTCAGGCCCTCAACAGATTAAATGATGCCACCTGCATTGGGAAGGACCATCAGATTTACTAAGTTCGCCAATTCAAATGCTGTTCTCATCTGGAAACACCCAATAAACCCACCCAGAAAAAATGTTTAATCTGGATACCCCATGCCAATTCAACACATAAATCAGCTTGACACACAAATTAGCCTTTATATATATGTGTGTGTGTGTGTATACACCATTATATATTATACTAACCATTATATATCATATAATATTAACATAGTATATATAATAGTTAACATATGATGTAATACATAAAGTATGTATCATATGTACAGAAAACCTAAGGTCACATAGCTAGTGAGGGAGAACTAGGATTCAAACCCAGCACTTTGGCTCCAGAGTCTGTACTGTCAACTACACTCCACTGCCAGGAAGAATCCCGTACAGTGACCCCTAGGTGTCGCTATCTTAGGAACCCTCAGGTAGCAACCCATCCCAATGGGGTTTCCTGCTGCAAAGGCTCCTATCTAACTCCCAGCCTGCCCCGCTGGTACAGACGCTGTTCTTCCTCCACCGCCTGGGAGCACTGTCTTGTCTAGACTCTCAGAGTGCAGATGAGTAATGTGGAGAATTCCCATTTCCTTTAGGGTGTGGCAGGTACTCTAAATTACTGTACTCAACATTCTTTCTAATGTCACTTCAATTTTCTTTCTTGTACTTTGCAGGGGTGGAATGCTCCAACTACATTCTCCCAGGACTCTCCCAGGACTCCCCTGTAGGACTCCCCACATGTGACCTAGCTGTCACAAAGAAGACATATTGCTTGAGACTAGGAGACAAAGATAGGAAATATGAGTGGTGGCTCTGCAGAGAGAGATCAAATCTGGCAGGTGCAGTGAACCAGGCACCTGGATGTCCTGGGACAGCTGGACAGGAGCCTATCTCGAGTCAGAGACAGGCTGAGTCACCAACAAAATCAACCCACAGAGACCTCAGGCCTCGGCAGAAATGAGCAAGAGAATCCACATCTGGAGAGCAAGGTCACATCAGTTGGAGAAATAAAAACAGGATACAAGGTCCCAGTTGAGCTTCATCAACAGCATTTGGCCGAGTCAGGAGCCCTCCATGAAGAACACCTGCCCCTCCTCAGGCCTGCATGCTCTAATCCTAGTGGATCAATATATGGGATATGTCATTACATTTAATTGGTGACCTTTTTCCTTGTGGGCGTGAGGAAATGGTATCTCCTGCTCAGATATCAGAGAGATTTCTTGGTTTAAAACATAAA